AGACGGAAGGCCGCTGGCACCCCCCAACTACATTTTCACCAAAACGTTCTGGTTGCAGAGAATCTGTCTCATTGTTGAGAAATTCGTGTGAATTTATTTGCACGAACGCTCAACTTATTTTCATTGTTTCTATTTACCTAATGTTACTCATACGCTAAGATGGATCTTCGTTGGTTTCTTTTTGATCTTCATTTCCTAGTCAGCTTGAAGAGGTGAAAATGTCTCAAAGATGTCTCCTTGATGCTCCTGAGTATAATCAGCTTGGGAGGTGTGCGTGTGTAGGTACTGTAGGTATCACTGCTCACTACGAAGTTCATGCATCTTCTAGTTCTAGTGAACTAATTCAATTCAATTTGCTCATGAAAGTGGTGGGATCGTAAGTTCGATTTAGCATCTTCGGATGAACTTTATTGAATTATTGCATGTTTAATCTAGTATTCATGACGTACCGCGTTTGGTCACTAACTCATTAAAACGAAAGGGGTTGAGTGTGATGGAATCGGAGGCCTATTAACTGATTTTGATCGTCGTTCAATCCAAGTGTGTTCAGAATGCTAAGGACAGGACAAGCAAGTTTTTGCGACAGCGCGCGCAGCGAAAACAAGTGGTAGCGTGGCTTCAAAGGAAATATCCAAGTTCAATCAAAAGAACTACTTTGCTGTTAGTTCTGCTATTTAGACTCTCTTTCAAATGTCTGCAGAATTGGTCAGGAAAACATTTTACTGAACATGAACTTGAAAATTGCTAAGTTCGGAATTGACCCTTAAAAACTTAAGAACCATTCCACCTCAATCATGCTATTTTTGTTGCACCGCCTAGATTCATATCAATCCTATTTCAGCTCCTCTCTACCGGTGTCGACAATAAGCTCCGTGAAGATCTCGAGCGTCTGAAGAAGATTCGCTTGCACAGAGGTCTTCGTCACTACTGGGGACTTCGTGTTCGAGGTCAGCACACGAAAACCACTGGACGCAAGGGACGCACTGTTGGTGTGTCGAAGAAGAAGGGAGGATAAGCATTACGGCGTTGTGGGTGTTGTTTTGTTTTGCCCGATAAATTGTTATTACACTTTATTGCTGATCTAAATCTTTTTCTTCTCTTTTTCGTAGTTTTTCTCGAAATCCAAGCATACATTGTTGAAGAAGTATCCCAGAAGAATTAGGTGCAGGAACACAAAACCATCACAATCCCTGAAATAAATAGTAGGCTTTATTGACACAATTGAATTTTCTTTGTGTTATGGGTGTTACCGCTCACCTACTGACAACCACGTTTCCGTGGAGAACATCTTTTATTCCGTTGATTAGGATTTCTTGAAATACAACTGATCCTGTGCCTTCCGAGCCAAGGAAAAAGAATACACCAAAGATCCCTGAATGGTGGCGTAGTTCTTGTGACTTTGAGAGGGTAGTTTTCCGTAGCATTTACATTTTTGTTGGTGTTATGCATACTCTTATTAAATAAACTGATCTAACCAACCAGGTATAACAGTTGCCAGCATTGATAGAGCTATCAAGCGTCTTATATTTCTATCTCCGATGTTTCGCCGTAATTCTTGGAACTGTTTAGTACCCCATATTGCTTTCCCAATCTTTTCTATGATTAGCTCGGCAGCAGATAAAGAAACCTATAAGAATTGGGTTGATCATAATCTTCACTGTTAATTTTGAATGCTTACCCAACAAATATAATGAGTTCTGGTGCCATGCCAAGCGAGAACAACTCCGAAGACAGCGAATAGTGCGGATAAATTTAAAATGATGATGTGCAAAGTGCTACCAGGTGAAAAAGTTGTCATAAGAGGTATGTACACCTAGAATAAGTTCCGACGATCAAGGCGTTTCAGGAAATGGCTGAAGCGCTCACCTGATTCTTAAGGAATTGGTAAAGTCCTGCGTCAAAGTGCCGCCACATACGTGAGTACCTCGATACTCGAGAAATGCATATAGGTGGAGGTGGGGGCCGCATTCCTGAACTGTTATTTGTGCTTCAATGCAACCAAAACTCACAACATGAGCTTGCTAGTTTTTGAGGTTAACGATGATAAATGCGAACTTCTTTAAACGTTCTTCTAACCTGCGACGTTGAGATCCATAAGCTTCTGTGAGAAGCTACCGTATTCTTTTATCCAGGGAACTTCGCTTTCTCGGCATCACTCTTTATTATATCTCTCTGAGCATGCTTTTTCTCACTGTTTCTTTGGACTGGTAGGGATTGTTTTCCGAGATTTTTTATTCAAATAAAGGAAGCTTCGCTAATGCGGAGTCTCTTGTTTTTTGGTACTCAAACTACCCTCTCGGACTTTCCTCAGTAATAAAGGTTATCCTTCCTTCTCTGTTGGGTTCACTTATAAGGATGTTGAGGCTTCGGTGAAATTGTAAGCTCCAAATGGAAGTGGAACGCGTTCTCGTACAATTCCATATAATTGCATGGTTTTTCTTGAGCAATTTCATTTTACGGGCGTTCGGGAAGGGGTGTAGGCAAATATTCGAATGGCAGGCTGTTCTAGGTTGTAGGCCTTGTAAAAAGTGTTTACCGTAGCGATTTACTGTTGCATCCGGGTCATTACTATTGTCCCGTCCAAGAAAGGATGGAAAATCACGAATGGCCTACGATTACTCTTTTGAAACCGTTCAAACCTAAACTACCGCTTTGCAAAGACATTTCTATCGTTTAAAATTGGGCGAAAGGAATGAAGATGGAGACCGGAATGGTCAATTAGAATGTCTTCAAAGGATATTAAATTCTGCAAAACCTACCGTCGAGATAAGCGAATAAGGATGGAAGACCGAATAGCACCACGTACTTCACGAAAAATAGCTTACCAGTCACATACGAGACTGCGGCCACTAAAAGAAGAAATTCAAGTCAGGGAGCGAAGAGGATTCCAACTTTGAACGGATGGTCGGAAAAGCCTCACATTCATAGTTGTTCAGACGGTCGATGACATCGACTGGAGAGTTGTAGAGTGAATGGACATGAATAAAATGAAGTATGAACTCGAAAACAAAATACCAGAAGCATAATCGAACGGCGAAAAAGCAGACGAATCTAGAAAGTAAATGTTTATCGACTCAAGACCATTTCCAGCTCAGCCAAATTGATTTCCTTGAGTACAAATTTTAGTTGAGAAGACGATGGTATTTCCATTAACTGAAGGTTGACATCGTCTGATCAGTATTTTCTTAATCATTGGGTCGTTTCCTTGACTCAAAACTCATCAACCGAAAGTTCCAGGTAGAAACCGCTAGCAAGCACCTATTGATGTGGCTTTACCGCATGTTTCGAACTAGGTGGGAAAATTTATTTTCCAGTATTAATCAAGTTCATCTCCAGTTTCTCTTGTTGTAACCTCGACATCCTTTTTTTTACATTGTTGTGCGGTAAGGTTTTTTACGTGGTAGTACTACTTGTTGATGATTTGTAGGAGAAGCAGTAGAATAAACTAAAAGGGCTGATGAAATTAGCGTCATTTCCTGTAACGATAACCCGGTAAAGTGCAGAAGCGGCGAAGAAAACACGAAAATCGGCATACTTAGAGAAATAAAAACTTTAAAAATGAAGTAAAATTGGGGGTTGGACGAGAATGTTACGAAAAAAGCTGTATGGAATGAGCATTTGGACGAGCTGTCCAAATGTGTGTGCCATTGCGTACAGCTGGCTACAACAAGTTGCCTTCGTGTAAGGTGTATATGTCCCGTGGCGAATGATGCAACCTCTACAGCTTTTACAAAGCTTAACAACTCGTTAACCTTGGGTTGCACGTCGGTTAAGCTAGTTGTGGGGGCAATTATTACACTCTATCTTGACCGCTTTACGGCCCGTCCCTTGAACTCATCCTAGAGGAAATTCCAGAAACTGTTTCTGATGTGAACTGTGCCCTTAAAGGCAACAAAAAGTGGTTTAGCCAGAAATGTTTGTTCATCGTAAGACCAACCTCAACAGTGTTGACCTCACTCCTAAAACCCTTATCGATAATACGAATCGGTGAAAAGTCTTGAAATATCATCTGCCTTTTGTATACGGTTGCCTAGAGCTGATGTCTACGGAGTCAAGTCCTAAATAATGGAGCACTCTGATTTGGGATGAGGAAACGGCGCTACTCTCCGGATGTTATCAATGTATTGAAAGAGTACGTGAATGCCCATGGGATGGATAATCAATGAATTGATGGGGATGGAGACGTAAACTCTTAGGTTCGTGAGAATTGATGTCAACGAAAATAATCTTTGGCTAGTGTTTTTGTCGAAATACTGGGGCGCTTTTTCGCGAAATCTCCTAATGGCAAGGTGATATCGCAGCTTGAGGCAGGGCCCGAGTTCCTGCAAGTCATCTAAGAGGATATTACTCAGTTTCTATGGGAAGTCTATCCTCAGTGATTTTTAAAAGGAGATTTTTCCTACCTGAGATCAGTGCAGGCTGCAGCTCCGTGAGTTAATCGACGCTGTATTTGGGAGGAGAAATCCTCGTAAAGCACTATTATCGTCATTGAGTACGGTAGATATGCCATATAGAGCAAGTGATCCACCAATACTTCCCTATATTCCTTGTCTTTGTTCTTGCACAGATATAGTGAAAAGTTCAAAACCTGAAAAGATACCTGATATGTTTCGCTCACGCTTGAAATTTCGCTTTTTGAAAGAATTTTTGGAAACGAAAACTTTAATAGGAATTCAAAAAATACGAATCTCATGATGGATGTGATTCAGAGATAGCCTTTTTCGGATCATGTTCTATGGTCAACTGCTTGGCAGTGGGGAAATGACCGGGTCTAAGCGATCCTGTTCGTAAGCCCTTCCTAATGTTCATACATATGTATGTGTACTTCAATGGAGGTATTGCTATGTTTTGCCCAATCAGCCGCTCCTTACGACGGCTTTAGTCTCATCAAGCCAATCAGACCTGACTGTTACCCTTTTTGGATCTCTTTGCATGCGTTTCTTCGTTCTGGGTTCAACTGATCAGCACACCTATGAGGACTTGTGCATTAGAGAAAATATCCTTTGAAGGCACAGTTCACGATAAATTCGAGGTATCCCGTTTAAGTCGAAAAGTGGTAGTATATGGGAGTAGTTCCGGTAGGGAAGGATGCGAGAAAATTCGCCAATTTCGGGAAAAACAAGGCTCCTCAAAGGTAGTGAAAATAGAGTTAGTACGAGATTACCATGACGGAAATGACATGGAAGGGGTATTCGGACGAGATTCGAGTTGTTGCAATGGCGCAATGAGCTGACTAAATCAAGGGAGAACTGTACAGAGCTGTTTTTCACTGTCACTATGGGTCATGACAAGTTGTTTGAACTTCCTACATGGGTTTTCTTGTGAATGGTGCAATCACCCAAGCTGTTAGAACTCGTCCGCGCGTACACACGGGACAACCTTTGAACCTTTATAACGCCCTATCTAATCCGTTTTCCTACCTGACAGCGCCACATATGGTATACAATGGGGCCGCAAACTTATTCTAGCGGGTTATCTCATGAGCCATTTTCATCATGCATTGTGCCTTTAAATCGCTGTTTGAAAAGGTGAACCACACTTGAAATTCGCGTCTAAAGACCTTTAGGGACTCTGACAAAATGAAATGGTCCAGAGATTGAGAAGGACAGCAACAGTCGGTGTCTTGTCACGTAGTATCTTTCGGAATTTGTTCAAGGCTGCAGAACCTCTCTACAAAGTGCCTCACATTCAAATATGTGGGTAAGTCTGTCTGGGGCTTCAACCCGAAAGGCTTATTTTCGATTATTCCAGTTACCCAACCAGGTCAGATAATTAAAATTGTATCGTTTGACATAAGCAAAAAGGAAGAGCTCTTCAAGCCCATGCGCTTTTTAATGCATGGTTTCTAGTCTAAGATCGTCAAAGCGAATCTTCATACTGCCCTAAGGCGACGGGAAACGTTCTTTCTCAATCCGTGCCAAGAGAAAGAAATACAATGCACTGTCTTCAGCGGCATATCATTGTGAAATTGTTGACAGAACTTACTTTTACTGCTCCATAAAGGTAAACGTTGAATTCTTGATAAAACGTATAGTTCTCCCATGTGAAAGGAAGCATTTCAGTGCCTTTCAGTATGAAAGATACACACATAATCCACGGAATGGCGATATTTCGAGTAATAGCGGACAGGAATGTCACCACTACTGCGAATGCACTGAGTATCAGAATGCACCGGAGGCTAAAAGTGGCATGGGTGAAGCTGGAAAAGGCCTACGAAATCCATGGAGTTATTAATGAACTGACCTTGTCATGTATATGTGGGCTAGAATTCCTATAACGATAAGACTTAGTTTGACACAGTTCGGATACGGTATTCGAGTTGCCAGAAAGAACCTGAAAACCTACCGTAATCTACTTGCTCTTGAAACGAAATTCGCTCTTAGCTTAAGAACAGAAGCGAAAACGACCAGGTTAGGGTTGGAAAAAAGACGAATTCTATACGTGAACTCACAATAGGCTGTGGGCGAAGTGACTGACAACCACATGGCCAACTGTATTTCGGAAATGTTGCCATTCTGTGTCCGACAGATCCATGTCGGTGTCGTTGACATAACTAAAATCCCTCAACTCATTGGTCTTTACACTCATCTCTTTCAAATTGAATACTACCCGCTCTTGGTGAGCCAATGTTGAATCCATGGCTTGAGGTGACCTTGGCTTACATTGAACGCGATTACAAAAGCGGCCAGAGAGTGAAATATCCAAACTAGCCAACACAGTCCGGTTTCCCATCGATTAAGTGGAACAGGAACAAAACGATTCGACGACATTTCGAGCTTTCACTGGTACGTCTAGGCGGAGTTGGCATTAT